TAATGGAGCATGGAGAGTTTGCCATGAGGAGTAACCTGCACACTGCTCCTGGCATGGGCTGATGTGAGGAGGGCTCCTGCACGTTCCCAGGGCTGGGATGGTGCTCATCAGAGGGGCTGCATGGCCACGCTGGACACGAGCCCTTGAGCAGCAGCCCCAGGCGACCACAGGTCTGATCATGAGCTGTGCTTTGTGTTTCAGAGCTCGCTGACCACGGCCACCTTGGCTGAGAGGATCACTCAGGTGTGTTGCTGCGACTGGAACCCCAAGAGACACAATCCTGACTCAGGCAGTGTCCCCCAGCTGCCCTGGGGGCTCAGGGATGGCTGTCATGCCCAGAAACAGCCCCGCTCCCCCGGCAGATGGGCTCCCTCTTCCAAGAGGACCTACCAGTGGTGCTTCGAGCCGTGACCCGGAGCTCACCTCACGTGGTGCTGGAGGAAGACAAAGCCATCGTGGAGCTTTTCCTTACTGCCCAGATTGGAGCAGGATCATCCCTTTTCCAGAGCTTCCTGAGTGTGAACGTGGTGAGTGTGGAAGCGTGCCGAGCTTGGGAAGCGTGTGCTGCGAGTGTGTCCCTGCTGCCCACAGGCACTGCCCTTTACTCTGAGCCCTGGCCCCACTGCAGGGGCCAGTTCAGCCTTTCCCATCACAGTGCTCCTGCTCTCCAGGGGCGTTTGCCCGTGTGGCACCAAGCAGGATGCAGGGAGCACATTGCAGGAGGCGGCACACGGGTTCTTGCACCCCACAAAGCCAAAGTGGGGCTGTTTCCTCACTGATCCTGCCCTCTGTTCCCCTCACAGGATGTGACTGCCAGGCTCCACCTCAGCGTTGCCGACACCAGGATGATCATCTCTGTGGCAGCCATAGAGTAATGAGCCCATCTGCACCGCAGGAGCCCAAAGGGACACGTCCCTGTCACAGCGGGGAAAGGAGAGGCTGGGGAGGGTTACAGCTTTTAGAGTTTGGGCATTGCAGACCTAGCTTCTTCCCCAGGGAGACAGTGAAATTCCAGAAACGTGGCTAGGGAGAAAAGTGGGAACTGCAGGTTCCACATTGCCACAAAGGCCTTGAGCCCAGATGGGGAATTTGGGGACACGGGGGAAACAGCTGAGCACCAGCGGCTCCTCTGCTGCTCTTTGTTTTCCAGGGATATCGAGCTCAGCCTGGCCACCTCTGATGTGGGTCCTATACTGGTAGGTACCTCCAGCTGTGGCCACTCCTGATGCCATCCTCTAAGAGCCTGGTCCCTCTCAGCTGCCCCAGCCATCCTGGGCAGCGGGTGCCAGCAGGGAAATATGGAAATACTGACTTTGGGTGCTTGCTGCACCTGGTGGGAGGGACAGCTGAGTTCTTGTGGGGTGGGAAGAGGTGCAGTGAACATCAGGACCCTCTCACGGGTCTCTGTCCCTCTCCTCCTGCTTTAGCCCCACACCATGAGCTGACCCTGACTTTCCCCCACAGGCTGCCCTGCTGGAGGAGTTGTTCGTGCCCACAATCCGTGAGGAGGTGCCAGCCCAGATAAACGGTGAGGAGATGGGAGCTCTGTGGGTGCTGCCATGCAGGATGCTCCCCATGGACCCAGGCAGCACCCAGCTGGCAACTTTGCCTCTTTCTTTTTCTCAGGGGTCCTGAGACAAGGTGTTTTCCTGCCCCACATTGCCAGTTTCACTTACACTGATGTCAACATCACAATTCACAAGGTAAGAAATAAGACATTTACATTGCCCCCTGTTGTGCTTGATTTAAAGGAAGCCTGAGAGCAATGCTGACCTCCCAGCTCCAGAATAAATCTGAGCCTGATCATCCAGCCCTGGTAACCTGCAGGAACAAGTTCCATTGCCTTAAATAGGCTGAGCCCCTCTTTAGCCCCATGGGCACAGGCAGTGGCTGGGGCTGTGGGTGGTGATGGTGACGCTCTCTGTGGGCTGATGGAGCCACACAGGCACCATTCTCAGTCCTCCTTCCTTCCTTCCTTGCTCAGGATTATGTCTTGATCCCCTGCAACCTCCAGCTAGAGGCAAGGACTAGAGAGGCAAGCACCTGGCAGTGAAGTCCAGTGTCTGGAGTAAAACAGTGGCAGAATCATTCGGTTGACTCTCACATCACACTCCGTGGTTTGCCACTGCTTGAAATGTTGAAAATCTTCTTTCTTGACTTACTAAAACATCATGGTTTTATATTCTGGATAATAAAGGTGTTGCACTAGCAACTTTCTCATCCAGCCCTGCTCCTGGTAGTTTTGTTGCACCGAGAATGGATTGTAACAACGTTCCATGCTTTAATTAAACATTTCTCTTTAATCCTGCATTTTCTGGTGTGACTATTGACATTTTTCCCCCACAACAATTTTTACCTGAAAACAGATAAATTTTGCCCATCAAGTCCCGACTCTATATTTAATTAATTCCACTCATTTACAAGGATGCAAAAACAGACTCATGCCTCTCAGCTGCAGAGCAACATAGCCCTACAATGAGAGATCTTTCATCTGCTTTTCCTCCATGTCTTGTGTTACTATGGGAACATTACAGCTGGTGAGTTTCCTGGGTCAGAAAGAAGAGGAGGGGGAGGAAATCAGTCTGCAGAATGGTTTCTAATTTTAGACCTGAAGGCAGTTATATTTTCAACACTTTTCTTCTGAGAAAGCTCATCACAGAGAAAACGCTGAATGAGAGGTGACTGCAGACGTCAGACTGCACCGGCGCTGTGGTCGTTGGCATTGGGATGCTCTTTCCTACTGGCCAAACACATCTCCCAGTTGTTCAGGAACATAAAGGGGGTAAAACACACCCACAACAGACACAGGCATCCAAAAAGGGGAGGGTGGGTGGCATCAGAGCTTCAAAAGCTGTCCTGGTCACTCAGTCACTGGGTACTGTTGGCATCTACATCAGAGAGGGTGAACATGTGGCTGTGCTGATGCCCAGGAGGAGAAGCCTTGTCCCTGACCACGCAGCCCAGGTGGAGCATCCTCATCCCTGACTGTGCAGCCCAGGAGGAGAATCCTTATCCCTGATCATGCAGCTCCCACCTCAGCTCTCCCATGGTGATTCTTCACGTAACACCCCAGCCATGAAACCTTGTTAATTACACCTACATCTGCTTTCACTTGCTACAACTATACCCATCATTTCTAGCCTCTGATGCTGCTGAAAAACACTTCAAAACCTTGTGTTTGTATTTCAAAGGTTCAGAAATAGGAAAGCAAACAAAATAAGCCAGGTTGATTTACTGCAAGGAGTGAAGAACCCTGAAGGTTTATATGCCCAGAGAGAGGACCTGACTAATGATGTTAATGCCCAAGGTTGGCCATAGCAGGAACAGCTCCTAATAAAAAGTTTCCTGGTAGAGCTGCAACCATTATACTTTGACTAATATATGTTAAACCAGTTTCCCAATGGGAATAAGCTACAGTAGTAAAAAGATGCATTTCTTTGGCAGGGAATATTATGGCTCCAAGCTTCACTGCATGAAGTGAAGCCCCTCCAGAGCATGGCTGGAATCTCAGGAGCTGCACCTGCAGCTGCCAGCCTCACCTGGGAACAGCCACAGGCTTAGAGCAAAGCTGGCTCATGTTGGAGAATGAGGGTCTTCTGCTTCTCCCTCCAGGCACCCCATTTACTGAGACCCTCAGCACAGCCAGGGAAAAGGAATGCTGAAAAAATCTTTTGCATCAGCCCCAATGACAGGCCCTTTCCTGGGCAGGAAGAGCTGCCTGGTGACCCCCAGCTTCCCTCACTACTGGCACATGGAGCAGCATGCACCAGCCAGGAGGTTCAAACCCTGGAGCAGGGGGAACAAGCCACTTCTCCAGCCCCCAAAAAACAGCAGAGGGATGAAGGTTTTGCCAGGGATGTTGCTGGAGCAAGAGCCAGAGAACTCCAACAAACCCACAAACCACTGACAGCACAGCCAGTCCCTGGGAAATCCTCCTGCTACTCACCCAGAAAAAAGATTTTTCCAGCCTGTCAAGGTCCCAGTGTAAAAAAAACTTTGCTGAACAGGATTATCCCAGCCCTTAAGGGTCCTGGATTGAAGTTTGATGCTCTGGATATACTCCTGAACCCACTAGACATTTAGAGCATTAGATATACAAGTTGCAGAAGTGACAAGTAACACTGAGAAGATGCTGCCCTTTCCTTTGGAAAGGCTCCTCTGCTGCTTCCCTCTCAGTCTCATGTGATGAACAGCATAATGAAGGCCAGACCCCAAGAGGAACAGCCTTTTCCAGGGGCACAAGATGACTTTTCCCTCTTCTGTGACCCTGGTCTTGCTGTGCCAGCGCTCCACGCAGCAGCAAGCTCTCATCACATGTTCTCAACATGTTTTGTTTTCATTCTCAGCACAAGCAGAGGCTGGGACAGTGCCAGATCACAGAGCCCATAATGGCACATAATGTGCCAGAGAGATGAATGCTCCCAATAGAGCAGAATACACACAGAAGTGATGGGCAAACGGGAATGAAAAGAGGGCCTAAACTTTACTTAATGTCTGGAAGGTGTTTGCTCAGAAACCAGAACAAGACCTTGAATCAACACAGACTGTTCTGCCAACCTGTGGGCAAAAAGGATGGATGGAGACACCAAGTCCCAGCAGTGCAGGAGCCCTGAAGTGGCACAAAGCAGATGCCAGCACAGGTTGCTGGGGAGTTGTCACTCATCCCATCCTCCAGGTAAAAGGGTCACACAGACCCCCCAAACCCTGCTCTGCCAGCTCCAAGGGCATGCAGGTGTCAGAGAACATGAGCAATGGGATCTGAGCTCCCTGCTCCTGGCTCCTGAGCAGGTTCCAATGCCCCACAGTGTTCACTCTTGTGGGCACCTCACTCCACAGGGTGATGGAGCTGTGCCCAGCCCCCTGCTTCAGTGCAGCACCCTGTCACTACACAGGAGCACCACTTCTGCCCAGGGACAGGCCAAGGCTTGTGTCACAGCAGCTGCAGTCTCTGGGGAGCACAGTCCCACAGGCAGCATCAGCCTGCGCCATGCTGGGAACCAAAAGAGCTGTTTCTACTCACCAGAACACCCTTCTTCCATGTTACCATGGACTTTAACCCCCCAAAACCTTTCTGCTGGACACAAGGCAGGCTGGCCCATGTGGTGACAGTGTGTTACACCAGGTTTGTGTTTGGCACAGCTCAGGAGAGCTCTGGCCAGTTCACACAAAGAGGGACCCCAACAGGTCCAGCACCTTCTCTCACTGTGTTCAGTGATTCCTCTGCATCATCTCACAGCGATGCTGGGAGCTCATGCAGCAGCCACAGGTCTGGGCCCCACAGATCCTGAGCTATTCCTACCTTCAGGCAGAAATGTAGAGTGGAATACTGCCCCATCCCTGGCCTGGTCAGTGCCAGAGTGCCACAACCTCTGGGGACACAAGGAGTAAGTAACACACTCATAATAACATCCAGTGCTGGGAAAAACTGGTGCTGGAGAGGCCATTTAAAACCTGAGATTTGTCATTTTTTTTTAACCCAGAATAATATGGGTTTTTTAAAATCCAAAATGCTGGGATTCTTGTCACTGTGACATGCAGAGACCAAAAGGCTGTGACATCAGCCTAAGAAGACATGGCTCTGGCAGACAGACAGTGTTCTCCAGGGCTATCAGACCTCTCAGTCCTCTGGTAAGCAAGTTTTCCCTCCAGATTCTATTAGGAAATGCTTCATGATCTTTGGAAATTCAATTTAATTTTGATTTCTTCTTGTGGATTAGCATTTGGTCAGCAGGTTATCAGGCCAGGAGGAGCCACTGAAAGTTCAGTTTTTTTCCTCAGGAAGTTCAAGTGGGAAGAGATTTCAAACCCAAACTCAAAATATGGATTTGTCACAAAGGAACAAGATCCCAGAGTGGGATCAGCTCGCCCTGAGAAGCATCAGAAACCAGAACTTCATTCCAAGCACTAAAAAAGTAGGAACATTTATTAAAAGAGTTACATGAGAAATGCATTCTGAGTTCCCACTCAGCACTTCACACCCTCCTGGACAAGGATAGGGAGCTCCACTTCAGTAGCCACATACTACAAATTCACTTTTTCATTCTATCAGGAAAAGTTTTACCTCAGAACAAATTTCCCAATTCCACTGCAGCACCACACGCACCTGCTGTGACTGTGACCCCAAAATCACACCAACTTCTCTAAATAAATATTTGTACACAAAGCTGCCAGTCAGGTTTGGCTTATGCAAGTGTCAAGCTGTACTCACACAAGCCAATTCACTTTAAAGTGTCTTAAATATTATCAAGAATCTTGAATCAAGTTTAGTAAAGAAAAGCAGATAATGCTGGTCGTGGCATTCCATCCTCGCTGCTCTCTTCCTCTCTGTCCCCACAGTCCTCTCCATGCCTCAGGCTCCAGAGCTCACACCAGAAACACCATCAGGCCCTGAAGGAGAGCAGGGAGAAACACAAACACATTATCTCCTGTCAAGGGATGTTGGTTCACAACACACAGCAAAGACAGAACCCTCCTGCAAAGGTCCTCATGTCCAGTTTTCAATAAGGAGGGCGCAGAACTCTTTGGGAGGTGTTGGGGAATATCCTGGCTCCTCAAGGGCCCCTCCAGACTGAACAGGGCTGGAACTTGGGACAACTCAAGACTTTGAATGGTGCCACTGGAGAGGCCTTGTCTGAATGCCTGGATCCCCATCAGAGCTGCTCCCAGTGAATTCTCCAGAAAGAAAAGAGGATCTAGACAGGGAACTGGGACCTGCCCCGGTGCCTGAGCACTGCTCCTGATGCAGCTGGGTCCACACCACGTGTGGGCATCACATCCTCAGGCAGCATTCCCCAACCTGAGGGAGGTCAGAAAGAGCAGCCCTTCCAGTCTCTTAAGGATTAAAGTCTACAGCTCTTACACACACAGCCACCACTGGCAGGCTCCTGTGAACAGCCCTGGTGCCTTGCAGGAGGGAACAGCCCATGCGAGCACTCACCGTCTTTATCTGAAATTCCACATTCACCAAGGGGATGCGCAGCACCTTTGGCAGAGGGATCCCGATGCTCAGGGCACCTGCAGGGGACAGACAGGTCCTCACATGCTGAGCCAGCTCACACCCCATGACAGAGCTGCTCCAGGGAGGGCACAGGGAGCAGAGCTTCTCAGGGCCACCGCTGTGTGCTTGGCTTCCCTTGGGTTCTCCATCACTGACTGTTGCCAGAGCTGATGCTGGGCTGGGACGGTGCAAATATAAGGTTGGACTTTTAACTACATCCTCAAATTGGGGACTTCAGGGTTTTAATGGCTCCAGCACACCTAGTACATCTTCCAAACACACACACACGCACGCACAGAGACATGACCCCCTCTTCCCTCCTTGCCCAGAACTCAGAGTGCTCCCAACCTTACAGACATCCAGGTCACCTTACCATTGATCACAGGCACGAATGTTTCCACAAGCAAACTGCTGCAGTGGGGCTTCAGGCTGGAGATCTGAATTAGAGAAAAACCATGTGAGCAGCACCGCCTGGCCCATGCCAGCAGCAAGCAGGACCCTTGGGACTGCGAGCCACTGCCCACTGACACAGCAAAAGAACAGTCCCTCTTCTCTTTAAAGTGAATCTACTTTTCTTCTTCAATTTGTATTCAGTCCTTCCTTTAGAAAAACTTCTGCCTCGTGATGCTTCTGCTGCAGCTCGATGTGAGCTTTGCCCAAGCAGAGGTGAATAAACAAACAGATTTCAGCTTTACATTTTCTTTATTAGAGAAGGCAGAAGGGAAAAAAGAAACCCCAGCAACAGAGGAATTGCTACAACCTACATCTCAGAGCAGCTAACAGCTCTGACCATCAGCAGGGGTAATTCATCACAGCATCCCACAGGCACTGCCTGGCTCCCTCCCTCCCTCCCCAAGAGCCACAGGGCATCACGCCTGGCTGCTCTCCCTGCCCAGTAAAGCCCAGAGTTAGAGACTTACATTACTGATGCCAACATCAGAAGACTCCAAGGAGAGGGAAGTGCTGCAGGGAAAGGAGAGCAAACAGCAGGTCAGACACAAGGCAGCGGCCAGAGCTCACAGACAGAGCCCGGCCACCTCCAAGCACACTCAGCCCATGGGCAGACACCCACAAAGGGACACCTGAATTGTAACACAAAAAACAGGGACTGGCACACTTGTGAGAGAGAAAATAAAATAGGAAAATAAAAGCTTAACCTAATTTTAATTTGCTTGTCAATGATGCAGCACTGCAGCAGGGCACACACAGCTCCTGGCTGCACCTTCCCTCTCCGTGCCCAGATTATTCCCTTTCAGGAAGGAGGCGGCTCCTGGCCAGCTGAGAGCAGAGGTTCTGGAACCCCATGGCAGGGGGGAAGGAACTGGATGATCTTTAAGATCCCTTCCTATTCTATGATTCTACATAAAAGCACAGAGTCTGGATTTAAGGACCTGGTGGATTTGCTATAGCTCCTCATCTATCACTGCAACCGTATGACTATCCATACCTAAAATGGATGCTTTATTTCCACTTTCAATTTCTCTTTTCTACTTCTATCAAATCTTGTCGTACCCTTGTCTATTGAATTAAAAGCCTTCTGACACATTTCTATCCCCTATATCGCTGCATACAAGCTATGCCAATTTTGCTTCTAAATCCAGCTCTTTGACAAGCTAAATGGCCCCAAATCCTCAAACCTCCCGCTATAAGGAATGCTCTCCAATCTTTAATCATACCTTGACTGGCATTAATGACAGCACTTTCCTTTAGTGCTTTATCATTCATGTCCAATATCAGGCATTTCTAACCACTGCCCAGGATCAAAGTCAAGCTGACAGTCTTACAATTATTCAGGTTACCTCATTCCTCCTTGTTATAAAACTGACACACTTTTCCTCCAGCCTCTTAAAACTTTCCAACTGCTGTAATCCTTCCTGAACTACCCCATCCACCTTATGCCATCAGTCAGGTATGAAATTCTCACATTCAGGAGCTGAAATGTCTGGTTTACAGACACGGAAAACATCTCAAGTCAGGAGCCCCAGAGCCAACACTGCAGCCCACAGAATGTCCCCAGCTGTGTGAGGGGACAGCTCACCTGCCCAAGGCCAGCTGCAGCACCAGCCTGCCCCCAACAATCGACACACGGACGTTTAGAGCAAGGTCCTGCAAGCAGAGAGGGAAGGGATCAGCCCATGGAAACATTCCCATCCCAGCCAGCCTGCTGCACCCCTCACAGGCAGCCCCATCCACACTTACTGCCTTCAGCAGCAGGAAGTTGAGGATGGATCCATCCAAGTTGTTACCAAACAGCTGAATCAGGACTGAAAGCTTGACACTGGCTCTGTTTTCTTCCAAGAGGATGAGTGGGTTCCCTCTCAACATCAGTTTGATGCTCAGAGGACTGGTCCCACTGCAGGCAGAGCACTGTGGGAATTGGGGGGGCATGGAGGTGGCTGCTGGCACCTCACACACCAGCCAGGCAGGGCACTGGCAGTCCTTGGGCAGACCCTCACAGCCCCATAACTCCACAGGGCCTCCCCAAGGTCACACACACCCTGGACAAGCTAAATTCATGGAGCAAATAGGTCCAGCAGCACAGATCAGCTCTCCATGCTGAGGGCACAAGAGGCTGAGGAAGGAAAAGGGGACACAGAGGGGGCTGTGGGTGTCAGAGGGTGCCCAAGAAATGGGATATACCAGATAAGGACACAGGAGATATTTATCAGCTTTCCATGTCAATGGCTACAAGCTGAGAAGGCTTTCCCCTGTTCAGGGAGCAGGAGAAGGCAGGAACAGACAAGGGCACACAGGACAGGAGGTACTGGGCAGGGGCTCTGCAATCCCCCTGTCCCTTCTCCCACTCCCATCAGCTGGTCAGGCAGCAGGACAGGCTCAGGCCATGCTGGTGCAAGAGGAGCAGAGCAGAAGACTGGGGACCTTTGGCAGGGGCATGATGGCACATCCAGGTGTGTCCTGGAGAGATTTACACAAACCCTTGTGCCAGAACAAGTTCCTCACCCCAGCAGGAGAGATGGCCCACACGGCCTCACGCAGGCGGCTGGCACCGGAGAACTGTGGGAACGGAAGCACCAGCAGCCCCCATGAGCCCTCCAGCTGATTTCAACACCACCAACCCTGCCAGAGCCACCCCATTACACAGCACCCTGAGCCCCCCACCCTCTCCATTGCTCCCCAGCTGTCTGGGTGACTCCTGATGGTTGTTAAGGTGATAGCACCTGGCTGTGGAAGGTGATGTCCCCCAGAGGCTTTTGACACCTGGCAGTGCGTGGACCCCTAACATTTCCCATTGGAAGTGCAGATTAGAGGCAAGGGAAATGCAAACAGCCAGGGAATGGCACTGCAGACATGCAATGTCCTCTCTCAGTGGCACTTAGCAGACTCCTTGAGACAGATCACAGCCTGCAGGAGTCCATGGCACAACCAGCACACAGCTGGTCTCTGCTGGTGTCCCCAGGGGTGTCCTTACACTCAGGAGCACAGCTGGCCAGTGCAGGAGGAGTGCTGGGGTCGAGCCCTGCCAGGGAGCACGCACAATGCCCAAACCTCCCTGAGCAGGCTGATGCCTGTCCCTTGTCACTGGCTCCAGCAGGAAAGCCAGGCCCTGCTGTACTCACAACATCTGGCGTGCAGGGGAAGGTCTGTGGTGACAGCTGGAGCAGGAGGGACAGGACTGCATTGAGGAAGCTCTGGCGCATCACCAAGAGCAGGAGTTTGTCCATCAGAGGAGGCAAAGCAGAGGGGGATGAGTCGTGGGGGATGGTGCTGCCTCCCACCTGCTTCACCACGCCCTGCAAGAGAGGTGACACAGACATCAGTCCTCAAAGCTTCGAGGCACGTGCAGATCCTCACAGGAGTGTGGGGCAGCTGAACCTCCCTCCTCTCCTCAGAGCTTCGGGACAGCACCAGACTCGGGGCAGTTCACTGTCTCATAGTTGGTAGGAGCTGATGAAGCTGAGCCTGCCTAACTGAGGTGATATCAGCTAATAAAACACTTTGTCCAAATCACAAACCACTGCTGCACTTCATCCCTGAGGTCTCACTCCAAGCACCGACGGGTGACGGTGCTGCACGCAGTGAAACCCAGACCTTCCCCCAGCCACCCTCCAGCTCCACAGAGACACACATTGACACCAAGTGTTTGCTAAGGAAACTGATTCTGACCATCCAGGGGGCTTGGGGAGCAAAGGCTTCTCTCGATGAAGTCACTGCACCAAAGCCAATGCAGCAGCATGGGTTTCACAGGCTGCAGTGTTTGTTATCAGCCCCTGCTCCTCTTTAGTGCACATGTCCCTCTTGCTTCTCTCCAGCTGCTTGCTTTTTTTAAGCTCTCCTCTTTGCAAGTAGTTTGCTTTTTTGCTGCTTCCCCCCTCCCCACCCCGCAGTGAGACAGAAATAAAAAATAAATCCGTTAGCCTGTTTTAGCATTCACCCATCACAGAGACTGAACAGCAAAGGCAAAAAGCACCAATGCCAGGTCTGCAGGGCAAGAGAGACCAGGAAAACTGCTCATCCGAGAAGGAGAACTGCTCATCCCAGCAGCTACATCCAAGACACAGCCTCAGGCAGACTCAGGGTAATCTGGCATACAGAGCAGAAGAAGAAATGCATGCACAGTCGCTTAGTGGTGATTTGGATAGAGACCTAAGCACTTAGGAGCTGCATTTCCAGGACAAGCCATTAGCCCAGCTTCTTGAGGGATTCTACAGCTCCCATGGGATGAGGTGAACACACTGAAAGCCAAAGCACAGCCATGCTCCCAGGGTCCTGCTGCCCAGCATTGACTTACGTCTAAATCCAGCCCAAGGAACTTGCCAGAGGTGTAGGGGATGCTGGCCAGCTGGTAGTGGATTGTTCCTGCTGTGCCCACCGGGATCACGGCTACACACAGGAAAAGGACCATTCCAGCACCAGGAAATCAGCAGCAACACAACCACCCCTGACCCCAATGGCCACCAGCCCCCACAAACAGGTCCAAGCACTCAGGGCTGAGGGGTGCTTGCCGCTATTCCAAAAGCCAGAACACCCCCAAATTCAGCTTGGGATCTGCCTTTAGGATATAGCACAAAAAGAGCATCTAATACGATAAGAAAAATCCAAAGGTGATGCATAAAAATGGAATAAGGAGGGCCAAGGTGGGAGCAGTTCATTGGAATGCTGGGGTGTGAATTCTGGACTCAACAAGAGCCCTGCAGAAGTGCTGGACTTCTGTTGATGCACTGAGGGACTTGAGGTGGGAAATGGGATTTGTTCCCACTGTGGGAAACACAGGGAAGCAGTGCCTCACCCTCCACAAGCAACCCACCATTGAGAGTGCTCAGGAGATGGATGTTCACAAGGTTCATCACGATATCGACCACGGGACACAGCTGCAACACAAAGAAATGCAACTGCTCAACCCCCCTGGCCACCATCACCCACAGCCTGCCCAGGCTCCCTCCTTTCCCCTCCAGGGACAAAGTTGCATGGCACTAGACACAGCTGGGATGCTGTGAAAGACCTGGGGCAGTGGAGCATCCCTGGAGCTGTGGGACCACACTGAAGGGGGATGTTTTGACCTGGGGAACATCTGAGGCATCGCCCTACAAGCAGCAGCCCTGTGGACACCCTAGAGCCATGGCCCATGCCAGTGACGTGGGAGAGCAGCACAGAGAGACAGTGGATCTTGCTGTGGCCTCGTAACCAGTTTTTCCCAGTATTTCTGTGTTTCAGCTGTGAAAGGAGGACAATCCTCAGCCGTACCAAAGCGGGCAGAGTCGCTGTCAGCTGGCGAAGCACCAGCTCATTCACTGACAGGGTGAGTAAGCTGGAAAAGAAAGAAAAAGACCTTCCAAATCAGCACAAACAAAGCTCCAGGACAGGAGACAAAAAGATCTCCAGCCTTCATTTTACATTCTCTTACACCCTCAGTCATCCCTTCAGGGCTGCAGCTGATGCTTACCAGAGGAGGGGCTGGAGATACAAAAGAGCCACTTACCCCACTGAGGGGATAATTTAACTCATTGCTGAGACTCACAAAATCACTAAGGTTGGAAAAGACATCTAAAATTGTCAAGTCCAACCATCATGTTCACCACTAAACCACGTCAAGTGCCATAGCCACATTTTTTTAGCACTTCCAGGGGTGGTGTCTCTACCACTTCCCTGGGCAGTCTGTTCCAATGCTTGGCAGCCCCTTCTGCGAAGAAATTCTTCCTTCAGCTCTCAGGGAGCTTTCACTGCATGAAAGGAGTGAGCCTCTCACAGTCTAACCTTGTGTTTGGTGTCTCCCTCTGGTATTTAAATCAGTGCTGTAGTTAAGGGAAGAGGGAGCTGTTAAGAAATATCTTCATGTTAGTTTCTGGGAACAAACAATTTGCATCTGGAATAACAAGAGGAGAAATCTGCTGTGTGACATTTCCACGCTGCTGCTGAACAACTCGCTCAGGATGTGCGATGCCTGCAGCAGCACAGAGGCAGTTTTGTCTGATAATCAATATATTTCTGGACTGTTGAGTTGGCAAGGCACAGACAGCAGGAATTCATAGAGCACCTGTTATTTATGCCCAAATTCTGCCTACAAATGCACCTGAGGAGCTGCCATTAAGTCATTTGTGTGTATCTACACTCCCCTTGCCCCCCCAGGAGTGTGCTTCCTGCAAACCATCACTTTAATCCTGCTCAAAATTAAAACATGACCCCCAGAGCAGGTGAGTCGTGTTCCTCTGTTCACTCACACAACATTTTTCAAAGCAGCTGCTGCATTGATTGAAATATAATGCATAATGCAAAAATTAATTAGGAGAATTTTGATGAACCTGAAGAGTGAGTAATTCAAAAGCAAGAGAAGAAAATATTTCCCATGATCAATTGACTCCTGCATTCATCAATATATGAAGTCAGCAAATCCTTGCTGTCAAGAATTTAATAAGACTGAGCAAGAGATGGGACATTTGCATGGAATTACACACAACCACAGCAGTCAGAGGGAAACTTCACTTGCCCAGCATTCTCCTGGGACAGCAGCCAAAGAGTACAAAACCAGGGAAAGTAATGGTCCTGTTTTCCTGGAATTTTCCCAGCCCTATTACTCCTACCCTTTGGATATCAATTCTCTAGCTAACTCTAGAGAAAGTGTGTTGGGAAAGGTACCAAACATCATGCTTCAGACCATAAAATTTCCACAGAAAACAGGGGAAATTAACCCTCATTCCACCGGAGCAACTGCATTGGCAACAGGAAAGAAATTCCATCCCTGAGGCCTGGCTCTGTATCAGCTGAGCACCGTCTGTGGCCTGGCAGACTGTCCATGCTGTTGGAAAAGAGGAGAGGATTGCACATAACAGAAAGATAAACTCACAGGCACTTACCCAGAAAGGACCTTGATCTTTACAGCCCCAAGAATGCAGAGGCAGTCTTCAGTGACAACCTGGAACGTGCCAGACTCAAAATTCGTGCATTTAATGTTCGCAGTAATGTTCACCTCCACGAAGATATCAATGAGTTCTGAGAGCAGGCCAACCAAGCTGTGAAAAAGCAAATGGGATTATTCCATCTCTCAGCCTGTACCCAGAGAAACTCACCAAAGCCAGGAGAAAAAGCCTTCTCCTCCATCTCTGGCTGACCATCACCAATGCCACAGGTCGTCTCTTGGTGCCTGCTTTGCTCTGTGACTTTATTATAGGTAAGAAACACCTCAAAATCCTTAAGAGATGCAAAACATGTCAAGGTAGGGGTTTCTCTCAACATCCATCCTGAATGCCCCACTCACCAGTTGCCTCTGAGCTGCAGCTTTGCCCCGATGGTCAGCTGGACCCCGATCCCTGGCAGCAGCATCACCGACAGCCTGGGCACCCGGACCTTGATGAGGTGCAGGCTGTGAACAACAGCAAAGGCTGGCACAAATCAAAAACACCTTCCAGCAGCTGAGCAGCTGTACCCAGGGAGGAACCTACAGCACCCACAGCACCCCAGCCACCTCTGCTGGAGGCACAAGGATAAGAGACAGCTGACTAAAAGAAGGCAACCTAGAAGCAGACTGGGGTGGAAGCTGATTTTGGAGAGCTGTCTGCTTTTTCCCTCTGTGGTCCCTTTTCCCTCTCTCAGTGCTGTGAGGCATTAACAGCACCACCAGGGCTGTCATTCATTCTGTACCTGCACCCAAAACCTGCAGTGTCCCTTGCCACCCACACTGCAACCCCACAAACAACATTATTCAGGTCAGAATTTCAGTACCTCAATAAAACAAGGATAAGAGCCCAGGCCAATCACGCCAGGGGCAGCTCAGCTCATCTTGTTCAGAACTGATGCTGAAGGTGCACTTACTCCGTGATGCTGGTGGGAGAGTTCAGCTGACTCCCTTCACCCATGATGTTGGGAACCACGAGACCCTGCAGGTGCTGGTGGATGAGCCCATTATGAATTATGGCATCTGAGAGAACTGGAAAACATCTGTGCATGAGGACCAGCACGGGCAGCAGTGACCTCTCCCCACTTCAGCAGATCCATCCACAGCAAAGCCCCTCCACTCCCCAAAAGTCCTCATGGAGACATCAGCTGTCTCCATGCAGCCAAATAACACAGGGATGGTATTTTACAGTTTTGGTGCAATAAACCAAAGTTGCCCTCGGTGAAGTAAACAGGAAGAGAAGAAGTAGAAAGCATCCCAGACTCCAATTCAATCATCAGTTTGGCTGTGCACTCCCAGGAACACCAGTGACCCCACTCAGAGGCTGGGCTTCCACTCACAACTCATTTCCCCTTTGTCAAAGGGTTGTTATTTGCCTGTTTATTTTTGCTTTTGGCTTTTGGATTTTTTTAGTAGAAGCAACTTGAAACAAGCCTGAACATTGCAAATATGATTATGTCTGCTACTTCACAGCAGCTGTTTGTCAAATATCAGCTGCTCCAATATGGAAATGAGAAACTGAGACAAAAAGAGGAAATAACCCAGATCTAGCCCTGAAATTCTGTGTGGCTGCTTGGAGCTGAAACATGCCCCAGTTCTGGAGCAGAGATTTCCCTGACCCGTGAATCTGGTGATGGCTCTCAGGGGCTCTGAGCAAAGTCTGCAGCCCCGAGGAGTTATGAAATAAAGATGAAGACACTCAGGAATTTTACTCCCCATCACAGTCCCACAGAGCTTTCAAAGCAAACACAATGCATGGCTTTTGTAGTTACCGTTCTGCATCGCCCGCGGGCTGACAGCACAGGACAGCCCAGACAAAACCTCCTGCGAGGGTGAGAGGAGGCCACAGAAAAAGATGATTCCAAAAAGCTTCAAAACCGTCATCTCCAAAAGACTCCCCTGCTGACAAGGGAGACATCAGAGGGGACAGTGAAGAAAAAGACTCTCAGAAGTGACCCCACTGTCTTTATGAGGAAAGAAGTCAAGAAAGGAATTCCTCCTTTACTCGTTATCCGGATCAAAGGAGACTCAGCTCAAGCCCAGAGCAACAGAACCTTCTTCATGTCCACACACATGGACAGGCTCCACGTGTGGGTCAATAAAAGCCCTTTCCTCACCCCTTGTGACCGGCCAAAAATGTTCACACAAATAAAGCCAAACTTGATGTTTAAGTTATTTCTGTATCCCTGCAATGCAAAGTTACATTATGTTATGGTGAGGGGCTCTGCCAAGGGAAGCATCTGAGGATTATCTGTGTTCTTTCTACCTTTCAAAAGCAATAAACGAAAGCACAAGTGATTAAAATAAGCTAGATAGAAGTTATAACTTTATAATTACTAATATAAATTTAATTATGACAGAGCAGACACAGCGAGGTGATCAGGAGCTTGGTGCCCAGCTCCAGTCTCCAACCAAAGCAGTCAAGCACTTCCAGAGTGAGGTCCCTGCCACCACTCAACCAGCACACAGAGGATGTTACCTGACTCAGCTGCAGCCAGCTGGGATGGGCTCTTGGCTCTGCTCAGGCTCCTCTGGACTCCTCGAGACTCTGCAATGTCCCTTTTTCCCCCCCAGAGCCGAGATGAAAGAAGTGGCCCTTATATAAAAGCTGAGCCAAGCAGACACACCTTTTCCACTCAGGTCCCTGGCCCAAGAGCAGCCATCCCTTTGCTCCTGCTCCTTGCAAGCAACACCCAGCTGCCACCTCTCTTGATTTATACAAGGCAACGTCACTCCTGACTTGACCGGCTGCCATTCCCCTCTGTGGCCTGGATCACTCAGATGCTGCTTTTCCCCCCACCCCCAGTCTGTCTTAAAAAGGATGCCCTGCAATGGTGGATCCATTTGGGATCCCTATGCTTTGAGGAAAACAACTTTTTTAGGAAATTGTGAGAGCTGCTGGAGCATCTGAACCTGGCAGAAGGCTGATGGGGCTGCCCATGCAGGGAGGCAGCACACAGAGCACAGGAACATGGGTTCAAGGAGAATTAGAGTAGGAAACTATCTACTTGTGCCCATCCCTGAGGAGGTGTGAGACTTAAAAGACTCATTCCTATTTCAAGTGGAGTCCTGGGAAAAGATTTTCTTGGCAAAAAGCAATGTGGAGGGTTGCTGAGATCTTATAAAGGCTGGCATTTAGATTGATTTCAGATGGATCTGTAAAGTGTCACGAATCCACAGTAAAAAATGAAGTTGTATTGAAATGCACAAAGCCAACGATAAACATGGCTTTGAATAAGCAACACTGAACACTGGTAGCAGCAACATGGATCTCAAAGGAAAGTCTCATCCTGCAGGAATGAGGCTCTCAGCCCTCAGCAGATGCCTTGGCTGGGCTTAGCAGAAGTTTCCATTGTGCAGGGCCCCAGGAAGATCTTATCTGGGCACTTTGTTTGGGTCTGGTCACCCGTGTTCCGCTGGTTTGGAGGTGGGGGGAAGCTGGGCAGCAAAGGGCTGCTGAGAGAGCTGGGGAGGAGGAGAGGGGCGCTGTGCTCAGCCTCATGGAACATGGAGCAGCAGAGATACAATCATTCTCCACAAACATGGGAGAGGAGAGAGGGAGGAGAGCTGCCTGGGCTCAGGGACACGGTTGGCACAGGAACAAACACCAGCTGATACATTCAGGTTGAAGTTAGGAGAAAGCTGCTACCACCACAGTGAGTTTAGGGCTAGTTGTCCCCTGGGAATACAGAAGGCAGAAAAATATACTCAGGATGCTCTTCAATACTGCACAAGGTGTGTTCTTGCACTGGGTCCCTCAGCATGTGCTGCCTTGGGCTCAGGCTCAATGGACCAGACTTTTGCTTGCCACAGAAACTTATTTTATTTAACATTCAACCAGGACAGTATTTGATGTGCTGGTGACAGTCTAGTCCCAAAGCCAGGGGTTGAACTAGATGATCTTAATGGGCAACCTATCCATGCTGCTCCTTTTTTGTCCCCTTTCAAAGATCCAAATGCCCCAGGCTGAGCAGTCACCAAGAACACACCCACAGTGAAGTGCTGATGAGACTGCTCCAGCCGAGTACAGGCTGCAGGAATATCACTGCTGGCAAAAGCCAGCTGCTGAGCAGGAACAAATGTGGATTTCCAGCTGGTTTCAGAGTGCCCCTGTGTGTGTAAAGAGCACCCAAGTCGCCGTGTACGTGCACAGAGCAGAGCCACGCGCTCCCATCGGAGCCTCTCGCTGTTCCATGGCCAGAGGCAGAGATCCGTGTCCATGCACACACGTCCTGAACCACACCTGAACCACGGCAGTGACAGCAGCTCTGAGGAACGTGGCCCATTTCATACACCTTGTCCATATTTCTTCTTGCTCTGTGACTTTTTCCTCCTCAGTCACATCCCCTGTCTCCCCTCTCATGCGCCCATATTTCATCCTCTCCTTGCAGCAGTGATTTAGATATCACTTACCAGGAGGCTGGATTCAGTCCTGCAGTGACAAGGGAAGATATATTAAAATAAAGCATTGCAAGAAATTGTAGAAGAGATTGTCTCAACACAACTCTTGGAAAGCAGAAGGGCTCAAGGAAAGACCAACACCCACAGAGAAGAAATGCTCCAGAGCATCCTCTGGCATCCTGCACTGCCCCAGGCTTGGGGTTCTGCAAGAAGGCAGGTTAAACAGCAACAGGATCTTTAGAAGAGTAATATTAAAGTAATTAAATGTAATAATTTATTAAGTATGATTACATTAACTGACTTTTTTTCTCTAATATTCAGAGCCATGAAAGCCTAGGGAAAACCTAGGAGAATTGCACCATACAGGTCAAATTAAAGTGCTGAGCAATGCTGAAGATGAAATAAAATCAGAATTTTTGCACTATATTTTAATGACAGATGGTGGTTTTGAGACATTCCAGAGGTTTGCAGGCTACAGGAGCACAGCTTCCCTTCACTGTTATGTGACAAATAAAAAATGAAAATTAAACTAAAAGGAGTAACCTCAGAGTGTTAAAAGTCTTTAATGGGCAAATAGCAACTCCTTATTAAGAGTATTTATCCTTATTAAGAGTATACATAAACTGAATCCTCTCTCTTGAGGTGAAAAGCATAAAATTGGTGGCAGGACTTGCAGCCTCTGATGGTATACAGATGTTCAGCCTTCTCCCTCTCAGGGACACCTGTGAGTCTGTGACTGCTTCCAAACAGATCCTGAACATTAATGAACTGCTCAGCCAAGATGTCGATGGAAGGAACTCCCTGAAGCCAAAAAGAAGTCGGCAGCTCAAGGGGAAGGAGGAAGCACTCGGGGAGGAAAATGACACAGCAAACTGCTGTGCTGGAGCAGAAACTGAGAAAGGGCCGGGGGGAACAAAATAAGTTTTAAGTGCTGACTGCAGCTGGGCTGTGAACTCCCAGCCTGATCTCTGAAATGCTGAAGTTCAGGTGATGTTGTTTTCCCCACTGTGCATTTTACTGGGGAATATGGCAACATAGCAGAGCTGCCCTGGGAGGGGGTCAGGCACCTTGGCCAGGGGCAGCTCAGTCCAGAGCCTGGAAAACAGGCACATGGAAAAGTGTCACTCACTGCTCTGTTTCTTCTGCCTCACTGCAAGCTGGCTTGCTCAGGGGAGATTTTTCCCCAATCCTGTTAATGAAATTGCTCAGGGAAGTGGAAGGAAGGAGCTGTCTGTGAGCTCCCCAATGCAGTGTAACACGCTGAATTCAGCATCAGAAACACGGCATTAGTGCAGCACTGTCTCTATAGAGTCACCTGTGTTCTGGTTGGTTTGGGATGGATTAATCCTCCCAGAGCCAGGCTCCAAAACTAATTTCTAGCAATAGGATTTAAACAAAATAGGATTTAAACAAAACATAAACTAGAGTCTCCTAGAAAGGACCTGGAAAGTTTTAGTAAGAACTGAAGAACTCAAACCCTCCTAAAGTTTTTGGACTCGACTTGAGCCCAGGATTGACAGAAACCCACAATCCCCAGGGCCAGATTTACAGCTGGTTTAGCAGCTCCCATTGTCAGCAGCCCAGGAGGGCAGAGAAGTTTAATTAATACCCATCACTCCTGTAGCACAGCCAGCCTTGCCAAGCTCACGCTGACCCGGGGCTGCTGCTCCATGCACAAACCCCGGAGCTGTGGCAGGGTGTGCGTGGGCAGACGTCAGAACCCTCCTTTGCAGCTGTACCCGTGTCTGATCACCCAGCCGTGCAGTTTCCTACACGGGGAACTGCAGAAGCACGAACATAATCTCAGGCAAGGGCCACACAGAGAGGCCAAGCAAGGAGAACAGGGAGAAGGACGCAGAGGCACGGGGGAGCAGCTCCCAGGAGCTGCCTGTCAGGAGGAGGCAGAGCAGCAGCATTGATTTCTGGAAGCATCTGCAATGCCGAGCATAAACAGCAAAGCCGAGTAAAATCACTGCCATGAAATAAGAACAAATCGATGTCTCCAGGAATTTTATAGACAGGAAATTTTCTTCTTCTGAGACACAAACAGGAGGAAGAGAAGCGTAATGTTATCAGCCCCCAAAAAGGGACAAACTGCATTAGTCAGATGCAGCACAGCGAGATGGAAAAGAAATGCACTGAAAGTGTCACTCACTGGACACTCTGCAGCACAGACACTTCTGCAGACCTGTGTTCAGAGCTCCCCAGCACCACACTGACAGCAACACAGGCTGGAGGGCTCACAGGGACACCCAGGGAAGCCTGGGCAGCCTTGTAAATCCCTTCCCAGCTTCACCAAGTTATGCAATGTTTTTTTATCAGTATCTGTCCTTGCAAAGAACGAGGTGCAGCCAAAGTGCTGCCCTGAGCACCTTTCTGGGTGGGTGTTTTGCATCTGGACTTTGAGGTTTCGCCCATTCCAGGTTTCCCTGGGGCATCCATTCTCAGCTGTCCCCCACAAGGCACACTTGGTGAGCAGAAGA